GGGAGTGGGAGGGGTGCTTCCTTAATTGCCTGGTCCGGGTGGAAGTCTTGACTTCCTGCTCGGCCTTTGCCCACAGGGATGGGAGTGGGCAGCAGTGTGGTCTATGGGCTTTGGCTGTTGTAGGGTGGCTGTCGTCCTGAGCTCAGTGCTGGGAGAGGGACCGGGATGGAGGGCAGGGTGGACGGAGGGTGGAGGGGCCAGGGCATTAGGGCCCCTGAGGGGAGGGAAAGGCTAGGCGTGCATGATGTTTCTTTGTCTCTCTGTCTCCTGTGATGCACAGCAGACTGCTCAGTGATGCTGTTATCCTCAAGGGGAAGATAAAGGGGCTGTCTCTGTTCTACAGCACTCTGTACTATTTAGCTGTATTACGATGATGATGGTGATAGCGATAATAATAATAACAATAATGATAATATAAATGAAATAAAATAAAATAAAAAACTCTGTTGTAGGACCAGGAGACCTGGGATGCCTGAATGCTGTCCTGCTCTGGTCATCCCCCCTTGAGTGTCCCAGAGGAGATGGACTTACAGAGGACAGCAGCAAAAGGGACAGTGTGCCCTTGATTGTGTGCTGGGGCCGGAGCAGCCTGTGAGCTGGCTGGAGCATGTGACTTCAGCTCAAGGCTGAACAGACTGTTTACTCAAGGGCCTGAGATTTGTGGGGAAGTCCCCTTGGGAGCAGGCCAGCTTTAGCTCACCCGTGTGTTGCCTGTGGCCAGAGTAGGAGGTGGGACCTGTTAGCTCCCAGTGACCCTTCCCGGCGTCCCAGGGGCCTAACCAACCTCCCAGGACCTACAAGCCCATTCTACTTCATGACCTTCTTCAAGGAGTGGGGTCAGAGGCTTGCTCATCCAAGGTCCCCAGACAGGGTGGTGGTAAGCGGGTGGGTCAGAGGTCACAGACAGGATGTGGCTCTTCCTGGCTTGGAGTGTTTGCACATCAGAGTTTAGAAATGGGGACTTGCTTATGCAATTATTTTGAGATTTTCCTTCTTAATAGTATAGAGTAGTTGGCCAAAACTGGCAAATACTTCATAGAAATTGAACACTCAAACCCCAAACTTCTGTGATTTTCTTTGTGTTGAACATGTGATTTTCTCTCTGAATCCTTTTGTTGAGGAGGAGTGCACAGTAATTGGACCTAAAAATGCATCCAAATTATAGCATCTTCATCAGAATGAGCTGACAACATAATTATGATTGTTTTTCAGGGTATAAGATACATTTTTTCATATTCGTCCACTATAAAAAATGAAAATAGCTCCCCTGTTGTTATTTTGGTGGGATAGCAGTTCTCCATGTTTGGGGGGAGGCAGTCTGATGTGCCACTCTCTTCCCACGTGTTGGCATTTTGCTTTGTGAGCATCTTTACGGAGGGCACGGTTTCCCTCCTTCTCGGAGGCCTGCAGGGCGTTCAAGAGGGAGCACGGTGTGTTCTCTCTGGGCTTCTGGAAGCAGCCACTCTTAAATCCAGGGTTGAATCGGGGCACCTGACCGGCTCAGTCTGTAGAGCGTGCGACTTGTAGTCTCGGGGTTGTGACTTTGAGCTCCACGTTGGGTGTAGAGATTACTTAAAAAGAAAATCTAAAAAAAAAAAACCTCAAGGTTGCACGGTCGGTGGCAAAACAGAGCCCGCCCGCTGGTGCAGCTCGGGGCGGTCACGTGGGCCTGTGGGCTGTTCCACGGCTGCGTTCCTTAGCGGTGCCGACCTTGGCAGGGCCACGTGGCTTCCAGGAGACCCCGGGCCCAGGTCAGGTAAGGCTGCATTCCACCTTGACTCTGCGCTTCCCTGGCTGGGTGGCCGAGGGGAGGGCAGCCTCTCTGAACCTCCTGGGTCATGTGTCCTTACCTCTGCCCACACCTTGGGATCTCCAGGTCTAGCCTCCACCCGCCTCGTGGAGCGGATGTGCAGCAGGCTCTGGGGAAGCACGTGCTCCTTGACAGCAGGCAGCCGGGGTCAGGTGCCAGCCTTACGGTGCGGCGGACTTGCCCGACCGCTAAGCGATGGTGGTGGCTGACTTGCAGCAGCCTCCAGCACTTGGCCAGACATAGATGCAAAGGTAGTCTTATTTGTTTGGTCTCTAGACAGTGCCTGGTATGCCTGTGAGCGGAGACCCCTCCCCATAACTCTGTGGTCCCCGAAAGTTCTGTGTGAAATGTCACAGAATTCCTTTCTCCTGAAAGCGTCACAGAAACCAGTAATACGTACAGGTCTGTTGGGAAGTAGTTTCGTAAAAACCGTAAGGTGCACCTGTTCCCTGACGTGTCCGCCTCCCCTGGGCAGCTGGGGCCTGCTCCTTGGGGGGCTCCCGCCGGAGTCCTCTCTGCCCCGGGGCCTGCAGGGGGCGCACCTGTGCCTGCTGCTCAGGACGCACTACAGTGAACAAGGAAGAACTTGATCAGTGGTTTGGGGATTATGCTCTTTGGAATGACTTTCATTTCAGACGCTGTTGGTTACAACGGTGAGGATTTTAGCCTGACTTGAAGGAACTCCACTCACGGGGTGTAGCCGAACCAGCTCACGTCAGAAGCGGGTCGCAGAGAGTCTTTTTGGTGTCTCCTTCCTGCGGACCGTGACTCGGGCGGCCTGCTTGTCCTCTCTCAGCCTCGGTTTCCTCACCAGTGGGAGGGGGATTGCAAACCCTTTTCTGCCTGAGTCATGAGATCGCTGTTGGGTCAGCAGGAAGCGTGTTGAAAACAACGTGGCCTCGTAGAAAGACAAGAAGTGTTACTGTAATCTCTTCCTCTTTGAATGGGAAGCATTTTGGGTTCCTTAGGAATAAAGCATTTCTTGGAAAAAATAAAATATCGATTGACGCTATTGACGAGAGTGCCACTGAAGAAGCAGTGTTGTGCTTTGTTACATTTCTGTTTCTGGTGTTGTTTGGTCGGGGACAGTTCTCTTAGGTCGCCACCCCTCCTGCTCGTTCGTGGAGAAGCCCTTCCTTTGGATCCAGAGGGGGTTACTTGTGCAGCTCCGGTGCCTGGCGGGGTTCCGTCCTCACTGTGGCAGTGGCCAGCAGGCTCAACGCCTTTCTTTCCTGTCTCCTCCTTCTGGGAGGGGAATCTTGCTGTGAGGAGAAGGAGGAGGAAAATAGGGCTGGGGGAGGGCAAGGGGGTGGAGAGCAAGAGAGAGTCTGGGTTAAGATGGGAGAAGTAAGCATATGGCAAGTGGCAGAGAGGAAGGATTGGTGTTCTGGAGAAAGAAGTTACTGGAACTCGGTCACTGGGCGGGAGGGGCCGTTGCCTTGCCCCTCTGTCCAGTGATCTTCCAGGGGGGGCTGTGGCACCCTCTTACCAGGTGCAGGCACCTGTAAGGATGCACTGTCTTTGGAGAATTTTAAAGCAGTGACAACATTTTTTAAAAAGTTTAATTATTCTGAGAGAGAGTGCAAGCAGGGAAGGGGCAGAGAGAGAGAGAGAGAGAGAGAGAGAGAGAGAGAATCAGCACAGAGCCTGACATGGGGCTTGAACTCATGAACTTTGAGATCATGACCTGAGCCGAAGTTGGATGCTTAACCGACCCAGCCACCCAGGCGCCCCAGACGTCATAGCATTTAAGTGTTGGTCTCCTTTTTTGTTTTGCTATCTCCCTGATCCACCAATTCTAAACAGTGTCAGTGGTAAAGATATTGCCTGCACTGGGGTAGCCCACTCCCATGGGTCCCCTTCCCCCCCCCCCCCCCCCCCAGTGGCGCCGGGGGGGGCCCCCCCCAAAACACCAGGAGTGGGGGGGGGGGGGGGGGGGGGGGGGGGGTGAAGGTGCAGGTGGGCGGGCAGGTGTGGCGGAGGAAGCCCTTGGAGGCCGTCTTCTGGTGGCTGCACGTGAAATAGGAACCAAGGTCAGCGGCCGTGCGTGAGGATGGGCGGTGGGAATGGAGGGGTCTGAGACATTTGTTCACCATCCACGGAGAGCAGGTGGCCTAGAGGTCGCCTAGGATCGCTGTAGATCCGTCTAGCCTCCACGGAGAGCATGTGGCCTGGAGCGTGTGTGCCTGCCAGGCAGCACGGAGAGGCCCCGTGGGGCTAGTGATGGTGACGGCCCAGCCGTGTGGGTGACGTGGGCGCGGGCACGTGGTCGGTGGAGTGCTGTGGTTTCCTGAGTGCCTGCTGTGTTCCCACCGCTGAGTGGGCACGTGAGCTGCGTGTCCTGTTTCGTACCAGCGACCGAGGGGTTCTCACTAGTCCTCGGAGATCGCCCAGCTTTACAGCACTCACGGGTAGGGCTGGGAATGTAATCTGGGTCCCTGCGGCTTCAAAGCCATTGTCCTTTCCATTGTACCAGTTCTTCTTGTCGTTAAAAAAAATTCCAGCTTCTAATTATTTTTTGATCCTAAATTTAATATTCCTATATGTACCTACAGTTATCTTATCCGACTAAAAATGAGCGTTTTCCCATTATGTCTTCCTGCCTAGTATAAGGGGATGAACTCTAATAGGCTATTAGTAAATATTTGTGAATGGTGGTACTGCTTTCAAATAGGAATTGAGTAGCTTAAAAAAATCAACAGATTCCCATTCTTGTGGTTTCCGGTCCTCGTGCCGGCCAGTGCAAGGTGTCTTGGCTCTTGAGAAATGCTATTTTGGTCAGTTTTTTCCTGGTACCTAACTGGAGAGAGCCTCGCTGGAGCACTTCATTGCTGTCCGTGCGGCGCATTCATTCGAAGGCTGGGTTTCGCTCTTCCGTGCTGCCGTGTCGACACCAGAATCTGGCCTGTCTGCTTTGGTAACGGGGGAGTCCGTGTCAGATGCTCTCCGGCAGGGCAGTGCTTTTGAATTTCGGACAAAGAATTTTCTGGCAATTGGGGCCCCCTGAACTTAGAAGCGAGCTGCCTGGTGTGGAGGTATCCACGAGGGGGACGCAGTCAGGGGGAGGCTGGCCATTGCTCAAAAGGGCAGCCTTCAATATTTTCCTTTGGCAATTGGAAGTAATCATTGTTTTTGTTCAGATGAAATAACGCAGTTTGCTTTTTCTCCCCCCCCCCCCCCCCCCACACAGAGAACACGGCCATCTTCATGTGCAAATGCTGTAACCTTTTCTCACCAAATCAGTCGGAGCTCCTCTCCCACGTCTCCGAGAAGCACGCAGGAGAAGGGGTTAGTGCGGACGAGATCATCATTCCCCTCAGGCCTCTGAGCACTCCTGAACCCACCAACCCACACAAAAGCGGAGATGGTAAGGGGCCCGGGGTGCCGGGGGAGGGGCCACGGCCACGGATGTGCCTGCTGGTGACGATGGCTGTGATTTGCCTGCCAGCCCTTCGAGGCTGGGTTTCTGTTTGCTGGGCATAGAAACCCGGAAGGTTCCCGTCTCCCAACAGTTAACAGTTGTCCAGTTGTAGGTCTGTTCAAAATAAGGTTGTGGGTTTGAATTCACTGTACCTGGCCTCTGCAGGTGCTTCTCTGGCTTTGGAAGGAAGAACGAACGAAGGAACGAATGAATGATTGAGTGAATGAAAGGCGGGGATAGTGTCCAACAGCGTAAAAAAAACAAACGAACCGTGAGCTTGTTGTCGGACGAGTGGGGGTCTCAGCCAGCTCTAGGACCTACCAGTTGCATTACCTGAGGCAGATGATATGGCTTCTCTGAGCCTCACCGTGCTCCCCTGACAAACGAAGAGAACAGGCCTGTCACCGGGTGGGCGCTGAGGATTGGATGACGCCTGGCACGGGAGACAATGAAGGGAAGCTGTGACAACATACGTGATGAATGTGTAAGAACATATAATCTGAGACCCCGCGTTTCTGGACTGAGCGTGTAACCCTGGAACAAGGATCCAAATTGCAAAGCTTTGGTTCGCACGGACTCCATCAGGTTCACAGTCGGTGTGTGAAATGAGATACGTCTTGTCTGCAGCGTCCAGACATCTCCCACTGAATGGCGTCAGATGGGGCAGGTGGATGGATTGGAGAAACCATCTAGGCCCCGTAATTAGGTCCCCACAGACAAAGACAATGTGTAGCCCAGTAAGAGTAGCTGCAAACGACAGTGGGGAAAAAAAGCCCACAAAACTATTTTTATACGATGAGGGACAACGGCCAGTCGCCTGTGCAGAAGTGCCCTCTGTGGCCATCAGTGTTCCATCACAGGATTCATTAGCCACACTGATAACTGACTGCTCTTTCCTGGGAATATTCAGGCTGGCATTTCTAAATAGACTGGCTCATTGATCATCTGTCTGGCGTCGTTAACAAGGAGAGAGTCCAGACAAAAAATGTTTTGGTTAATGAGTCCCTCTGGCCGTTTCCAGGGAGCTCAGAGGAATACACCTGACAGAGGAATAAGTTGTTGAGAAGTTAAGGGAAGTTCTGCTAGTCACTGTTAGTGGCGGAAGATGAAACCGAGAGAACCCAGCACCTGAAACTGGTGATGGCGAATGAGGAGGAGCAGGAGAATTTGTGTCCTCGTCACCGGCAGCCGGTAGTGCTGTGTTCACGGTGTTTCAGCTCCATCACTGGCCTCGTGAGCTCTTTCCACTTCGAGAAAGCAGGACTGAGGTGGGAAGTCACACATGATCACGTCTCAGCCGATAGCGCACGTTTGATTCTCTTTGCTTTGGGGATGAGGAGGGGGAGGGAAGTCAGTTTGTCATGAAGAATCTACCCAAGAGCTTGATTAAAAACGGGCAAAAGACCTGAACAGACATTTTCCCAAAGAAGGCATACAGACGACCAACAGGTGCATGGAAAGATGCTCAATGTCACCACGCATCTGGGAGGGGCAGCTTAAAGCCACAGTGAGGTATCACCTCACGGCCCTTGGAACGGCTGCCCTCAGGAAGACAACAGGTGCTGGCAAGGATGGGGAGAAAAGGGAACCGTCGCGTCCTGTCGGTGGGAATGTAATTGGTGCAGCCACTATGGAAAACGCTTTGGGGGTTCCTCACAAAAGTAAAGGTAGAATTAGGATACGATCCAGCAATCTCACTTCTGGAAATGCATCCAAAAGAAATGAAGCATCTTGAAGAGATATCCACACTCCCGTGTTCATTGCAGCATTATTCACAATGGACAGTCTAAGTGTCTGTCAACAGATGAATGGATACAGGAAATGACACACACACACACACACACACACACACACACGGAGGAATATTATCCAGCCATAAAAAAGGAGAAGATCCTGCCATTTGCAACATGGACGAATCTGGAAGACACTCTCCTAAGTGAAATAAGCTAGACCCAGAGAGACAAATCCTGTATGATCGCACGTAGATGTGGAATCCAAAGGAGCTGAATTCATAGAATGAGAGAATAGAAAAGTGGCTCTCGGGCAGTGGGGGGATGGAGAGATGGAGATGATAGTCTAGAGGGCACAAACTTGGAGATGAATAAGTCCCAGGGATCTAAGGTGCAGCAAACAACATTGTATTGTATACTTGAAGTTTGCAGACAGAGTAATCTTAAGTGTTCTCATCAAAAGAAGAAAAATGGTTACTATCGTTGATTGTGGTGAGCATTTCACAGGGTATTATGGACATTAAATCATCTTGTACACCTTGAAGAAAACATATTGTGTAATCTAAGTATATGCAATTTTTGGCTATCAATCATGCCTTAGTAAAGCTGGAAAAAAAAAAAAAAAAAAAAAGAATCTGCCTAATGCTAAGGCCTTCACAGTTCAGCCACGCCTCCCTCTGCCACCCAGCCTGGGAGTGAGTAAGGCTCATCCTTCCAGACCTCACTGGAGGTTCCCTGATGACTTCCACATTCCCCACGGCTGCCTTCCTGTTGAGCAGTTAAGATGCCTTGGCTTGGGGAGCCCACGTGGCTCAGTCAGTTGAGCACCTGACTCTTGATTTCATCTCAGGTCATGGTCTCATGGGTCGTGGGTTCGAGCCCTGCATTGGGCTCTGCGCTGAGCATGGGGCCTGCTTGGGATTCTCTCTCTGCCTCTCTCTCTGCCATTCTCTCGCTCTCTCTCAAACATAAAGAAAATAAACTTTAAGAAAGAAAAAGACGCTTTGGCTTTCCAAAGAGTGTAGCTTAACGGACAGATGGAACCACAACTTTACTCAGGAACTGATTTAATCAGAACCCCTGTCTTTGGGGTTGAACATCTGTAGACTCAGAAGAACGGATAAACTCTTTTGTAAAATTCATATGGCAGAGAGAAGTCACGTGGATTAACATGTCGAGAACTTTGAGAAAGCTTGTTACAAACCCTTAATTCTGTTTTTATTCAGCTTTGCTTATCAAGATTTTCTTTCCACTAAAATGAAATGTGAATGAGGTAAAAGAATCTGAATTTTTCATTTCATTTCTAAATAATGAATAAATGATAAGAGAACAGATCTTCTCGAACTCTGTGTGTCAGTGTTTTATAACACACACGTGTGCTGATTTCCACCACCCTCGCCCTTGTTACTGATATTAGTGAAAGAGATGACTGTTTGCTCGGGAGGCCATCCCGGGCCCCCCTCTTCCTAGGGATCCCTCTTCCTGTTCGTCTCCCTGACAGCCAGCCCACCAGGCCCGTGTTCCCCCTCTTACCTGCTCTGCAGTCGTGGTCCATCACTGTGGGGATGACCGTGTGGGTTTTTTTTCCCTTCATTCTCTGAATGTGGTGATTTGTATGGATGGATTGGCATACCCAGAGTCACTTCCTGGGATACACCCCGCTTGGTGACGCTGCATAGTCCTTTTTAATATGCTGCTGGAGTTGGTCTGCTACTATTTTGATGAAGACATTTATGTTTAGATGCAGAGATAACGGTAGGATCATTTCTCTGATGTCTTTGGTTTGGGAATCAAAATGGTTTGTGGCCTCACAGAATGAGCTGGGAAGTGTTCCCTCCTCTTTTGTTTTTTGTTTTGTTCATTGGTTTTTTTTTTTTTTTTTTGGAAGATTTTTGAAGTGTTAGTGTCCATTCTTCTGAAATGTTTGATAGAATCCACCAGCGAAGCCCTTTAGTTCTGGGCTTTTCGTTTTTGGTGGGAAGATTTTTGATTACTGACTCCGTTTTTTTGCTTGTGATAGGTGGACGAATATTTTCTGTTTCTTCTTGAACTCTTTTCGGTAGTTTGTGTCTTTCTAGGAAATTTTCCATTTCCTCAAAGTTATCTCATTTGTTGGCATATAATTAATTGTTCATAGTATTCTTTTAGAATTATAAAAACCTTTTTTTGGTAAGATTAATACTAATTGTCCATCTTTCATTCTTGATTTTAGCTATTTAAGTCTTCCCTCTCTTTTCTTGGTGAGTTTAGCTAAAAGTTTGTCAGGTTTTTTTTTATCTTTTGTTTTTCTGTCTCACCTCTTTACACTCTTAATTTTCATTTTATTTTTTGTTTTCCTGCTCGCTGTGCATCTGGTTTGCTTCTGTTTTCTCTGGTTTCTTGAGTTGGAAGAGTAGGCCACTGATTTGAGATCTTTCTGTATTTCACATAGGCCTTTACAGCTATAAACTGCCTTGCGAAGCCTGCTTGCACTGCGTCCCACGAATGCTCGCATGTTGTGTTTTCCTTTTGATCATCTCAGTGTATTTCCTAGTTTCCCTTCTGATAGCGTCTTTGACCCATGGGTTACGTAGGGGTGCCATTTAATTTCCATGTCTTTATGAGTTTTTCAAATTTCTTTCCGTCCTTTTTTAAATTAAATTTTAATTCACATACATTACTACATTAGATGCAGTATGTAAGAAGATGGTTATTCTGTATTTTTATACATTAGGAAGTGATCACCATGATGGCTCTGGTTACTCTCTGTCACTGCCTGTGGCTGTATCGAAGTTATTACAATATTATTGATTATATTTTCTATGCTATACTTTTCATCCCCGTGACTTATTTACTTTGTCCCTGGAAGTCTGTGCCTCTTAATCCCCTTCATGTATTTAACCTGTCTCCCCAGCCCTCTCTCTCTGGCAACCACCAGTTTGTTCTCTGTAACAATGAGTCTTTCTGTTCTGTTTGTTCTTTTGTTTTTTAGAATCCATATATAAGTGAAATCATGTATATTTATCTTTTTCTTTCAGACTTATTTTACTTAGCATGATACCCTCTGGGTCTGTCTGTGTTGTTGTGAATGGCAAGATTTCATTCTTTTTTTATGGCTAGGTAATATTCTAATGTCTGTGTGTGCATGTGTGTGCATTGTGTGTGTATACGTATGTATACACATGTGCATATATATACATATATATGTACATACACACCCCACATCTTTTTTATCTA